CCCCCTCCGCTTGATGACTATTTCACGTGAAGTCCTTGTACAGCATATTTTGCGCCGTCTTTTTTTCTGTACTCTAATTTACTCCGATACCGATACGCGACAAGATGCTTCGATTGCTTCGTTTGCGAGGTACGACACCCAAAACGCAAGTTGAACATTTTGCCTTTTGTGCGACGTGAGAAGCGAGCATACAGCGTTTGTGCATGTTTTGCTTTGCAGAGCCTCCTTTACTTATTAGCTGCAGATCCCTCCGCCGTCGTGTGACAGTTGGTTCAACTTGTGTTGCGAAACTATTCTTCCTTGTGTCTGTTTTTTGAGCCGATGATCCTGTTTCGAGGTACGATACTCTACACGCATGACATGCTCGATTTGAACTTTTGCCTTTGTGCGACATGACAAGCGAGCATGCAGCGTTTGTGCATGTTTTGCTTTGCGAGTCTACCATAAATACGCACTAGCTGCAGATCCCTCCGCCGTCGTTTTACAGTAGGTTCAACTTGTTGCGAAACTCTTCCTGTTTTCTGCCTGTTGTTTGAGCCGATTATCCTGTCTTTTCAAGACACGGGCAGCCAAGCATCAGGTCGACGACAATTTCTCATAGTCGTCGATTACTCCTCAAGCTCGTGTGTGCACAACGTCATTCGTCATGAGCACTACAATCATCATGTTTGACCCTGCTGCCCCCCGGTGTTGTCCATGGAAAGCTTGGTGACCCCCGTACCCTCCCCCCCCTTTCGCATTTTCTCTATCACTACGAAGACGTTTGCGATCGATGTCAAGTATTTTCGGGTGTGGTGGTCGGTTCCAAAGCAAAGAAGAGAAACATGGCGCGAGCTGCAAGCGATTCAACCACAGCATGTTCAAAATACCGTGAAGCTGACATCTAACCGTTAGGTGTTTGACTTGTAAGAATTCCAATTCGACGTATGTCCTCTTGAACAACCAGCCTCTTCTGCCATCTTATCCACCCCCTCTCCCGCTCCCCGTCGGAAATATTGCCGTGCGTTTTCTTTTTTCAGGTGACGACTGGTGCGTCCAACGACTTCCAGCAGGTGGCCAACATCGCTTTCCGGATGGTGACACAGTGGGGCATGAGCGAGGAGATCGGCCCCTTCGTGGTTAACATGGGGATGGAGGGAATGGAGGGGGAGCAGTGGGGACCGACGATGAACGTGCGCGTCAACATGGAGGTCGAGCGATTGGTCAACCAGGCGTACTTCCGCGCCAAGACCATCCTGACGGAAAACAAGGAATTGATGGACAAGCTCGCCCAGAAGTTGCTCGACCAGGACACCGTTACTTCCGAGGAGCTGTCGTTGATGATCGCTGAGAACGGGATCGAGACGGCGCCTTACCGGGAGTACGACGGCCCTGCAGAGCAGACGAAGTTGCCGTTCCAGAAGCCTGTGTCTGACTATTTCTAAACAAATCGATGCGAGTGTTGGTTGTTTCCACAGGGGCAGGGGCATTGAGGGACGGATGGTTGTGTTTTTTTCGTTAGAAGGTAGCGGCGTGGTATCCGATGGTCGAGAGTTAAAACCCATGGAAGAACCGCGTTGGAAGTGAGGGGCAGGTAACTGGTGATGATGAAGTGTGTGGCGCTCACCTTGGCCCAACAGCGCCGACAGAAAATTGTCGGCCGATGTGTTTCTTGCGCAGAGCAACATGTGATTTTTACCGTCGCGCGATCTGTTGAGCGTTCTACGATCCGCATATGTGAATACGGACTGTATCGGTTCTTGAATTTTTTTGCTCCCGTTTTTGCTGGTGGAGATGTTCCAAGTCGCTAGAACTCGTAGAAGAGTGTTGTTGAGTCGCTTGATTCGAGTGAAAGCATATTACAAGTTAGAAATATCTTACACGATATTCCAACGTGCTAATACTTTTACCTTAATCGCTCTTGTGTTGAGGGCGGACGAGTTCTTGATCCATCGCGTGCTTCATTCGCTCGTGTGTGGATCGCGTGTGTATTTTGTTGTCGATGTATGGATGCTGTGCGAGACGAATCTAACGTGTCGTCAAATGCTTGTGTTGAGTCCAGCGTCCAAAACATCTTCGCACACCACACATCTTCCGGGAGTACACGCGGGAAACCCAGGAGCAACAGATCCTTGTGTTTGACTTGGCTCACGGTGCTTGTCTGTTCGGGCGCCGCGGCCAGCCTGTGTTTTTGTGACTTGCACTCCGTTTACACGGAAGTAATTGTCGCTTCGGCCTTGCTCACGACATGATGTGACAATGTGTGGCCAATTCTCTGTCAACATGAAACATGAATAATTTTGTGCAATATTTTTTTCATTTTTTGGGTATGGGATGATATATCCCTTCTTTTATGTTGATGTGCTATTACCTCCCACCAAAACAACGGGGTTCTGCGACGCGTTTTTATGCTTGCGGCTCTCAAAACCGTTCGAAGAGTAATTCCGCAAGGACCAAAAAGTTCCTTGCTAACCTCCAACGGTGGGCTACTTTCGGCTGGACTGGCCTGCCCGCTCAAACAATTACAAGCACCTATATCTCGAGGTCGAATCCTAGCTCGTCATCGGCTAGCCACGAGTTTGTTACACAAATACGACACCCCCCCCGCCTTGGAAGTTGGTACCGAGCTCGCGTCATGCCTTTGTCTCTTGTTCCTGCGCAGTGCACATTGGCCCGAAACCAAAATCGCGTGCGGGAGATCCCTCGAGTGGTGCCGCCGCGCGTTGAAGTTTTGACCGCATGTTTTCACGCGGTGCCAATGAACATCTGAGTTGCGCTGTACGGTGGAATACAGGCAGTGCCGGCCCGCTTTAGGAAACTGAAATTTGAGCAAAACGCGACAACTGTACGTCGCAATAATCGAGCACAGGTTATTTTTTGCTTTTGCTGCCACGAAGAGGAGTATTAGAATTTAGTGTCATGCCAGCGTGTGAGCGTAGTTTCTACGCCATTCTTTTTCTACACAAAACTGAGCTTCCATATCCCATGAGGATGTTTCTTGTGATCGGGCCGGTACTCGTGTATCGAAACAACTGAGCATGGCTACACATAGTTCCGCCCTCTCGTTTAGTTAGCTCTTGGGTTGCATTTGCTATCATCCTCAATCAACCTGGCAACTTTTGTCATGCGTACCACATGTATTTCTGCCGTTTGAACGACCCGCGCGTTTTCGTATGAGATACTCTAGGATACAACACATTGATGCACGAACCAGGCCCGACTTGTATCCTGGTCTCCTACTGCTGTAGCATTTTAAGAGTCCGTCGGTGAGTACACAAGGCTCGCTGGTTTTCCGTGCTCATCAGATGCTTGCAGGCATCATGTTGTACGGAGACTGACCAAACAGGCGTCTAAGGCCTACTCACCAATATCCAAAGATGAACACTGTACCACAGGCACCATGTCCCAACCGTATAAAATTGAACCTATACCCGGTGATTTTACACAGGCTTCGTGATTTTGATCAATTCCCATTTCTGAAATATCCCACAAGCTGAACCAGCGGCGGACTGTGCAAGGCTGGATAACAAAATAAGAATGCCGTGCCACGAGCCACGTGAATCCCGAAGGAATCGATTAATCACAAAGCCGGAGTGTCTACAATACGTCCGGTTGCTCCTCGGGGAGAGAAGCCTGCACCGCCGCCCGAGCCTGGTCTGTTACCGCCTGGAGAGGAATTCCGGCGTTGGTGGCCAGTACCTGTGGTTCACCCACCCAACCGGAGGAAAAATCAGGGAAGGATCTACCTGATGGGTGTAACACGTACAAGCCAAGATGCCGAGGTTGCATGGGTCCCCCGAATGTACCCCTCTGCAAAATACACATACTAGAGCCATGCTGTGGTCCTGTGTATCCGCCATACCAGTGCGTTATCAAACATGCGCCCAACCGCCTGGATGTTTTTCGCAAGAAGGCAACACACTAAATACGTCGACGCGCAACCTCACCTTACAGTCTTCGTACTCGGGCTTTGTACTGACAACCACGCCATCCAGCCAGGCCACCTTGCAGATGGTAAGCGCAAAGTATCGAACGTAGGATCGATAAGGTGAACGTAATGAAAACGACGAGAACAGCAGTTGGTTGCGTCAGGGGCTTCTCCAACGCCATGCAAGGTGTTCCTACTTCCAAAAGGAAAACAAAACTGTCCCCCGGTGCACACATGCTCGCATTCATCAGCTCAAAAGCATGAGCAAATCTCCCCTCATTGTCCAGCAACCGAGAGGAACGTCCCTAGCACGGCAAGACCGGTGTTTGAACGTGGGCCTGTGGGTAGTGCCCATCCCATTCATGATGATCCATTCTTAACAACACAGCAAGGTCCAGACATAATTGTGTGGAAGCCTTTGTCTTTCGCCCACCTTGACTCGCACGTCGCCAAACGTGGTAGACACTGGAACCGTCTTTCGGCGAAGCGCGCAGCGCTCTACAGAGCGTCTTCGCACCCCCAGGGTTGAGCTCTCGGTGAACAGGAGGCGCACGAAGCGCTCTTGGTCATACTGCTCGCACAGAACGCTCACAGTGAACGCCGGGCGTCCCTTCTTCATTAAGATTGGGCAGAGCCAGGCATCCAGACAGCCCGCCTCCAGCAGCACCTCCAATAAGTATCCCGCCGCTTCGCCGGTCATGTCGTCAATATTGGCCTCAAGTACCCAAAGCTGACGCATGGTCCAGCTCCCCGTTTCTTGCGCCCCGTCTGCGGGAAATGCCCTTATCTGCTCAACTGGCTGTGGTTCGTCCGACGGCGGCGGGGGGGGAACCTCCCCCAGGATCACCCTCAAAATGTTGGGATGCTTGTCAAAATCTTTGGTGCCTGCTCCGATGCCTGAACACCGCCGAGAGAGGTTGAATGAGAAAGCAATACCAGTCGCACATCTTGAGGTCAGGTTTCCAAGCAAGCTGCTGAACGCAACACTGGAAGCATACGTTACGTTAATCCTTGCACTTGATCGTTCTTGTTCTCGCCACGGTATTTCATAAGCTAGGATAATGTTGCCCTCACCAATTGCCCCAGGAGTAAACAAAGATGGCCTCCCAAACTCGGAGGAAAGGACACGAACCAAGGCCGCCCCCGTAGGTGTCACTAGTTCCCCTTTAGCGCTGCAAGGCGCCGTCCATTCACGATCGCACGCGCGGGGGTGTACGAGTGAGGATAGCACCGCCATCAGCATATTTTCTTTGTGGCACTCACAGTATGAGATACTGTGAAGGTATAGCGAGGTCACACATGAAAACATTCCACACCCTGTACAAGTTCTCCATTTGCCACTTGTTTGGTTTGACAAATACTCGTTCAGAATTGTGTGCAAATGTTTGTTTTCCAGACAGATACTCGTTCAGAATCGTGTGCAAATAATTGTCTCTCAGACAAATACTCGATCAGAATCGTGCGCAAATATTTGTTTCTAGACAAATACTGGGTCAAAATCGTGCGCGAATATCTGTCTCCAGACAAATACTGGATCAAAAACGTGCGCGAATATTTGCTTCTAGACAAAGGCTGGATCAAAATCGTGTGCGAATATTTTCTTCTAGGCAGGTACAGGGTCAAACTCATTGTGTTTGTTTCCAAATAAATACTTAGGTCAAAGTATAAGCCGTGGGTGGCTAATTGAGGTCAGAGTGCAAAAGAGCACGTTTTTGATGTGAGCCCGATAGAGACTCAGTGCAAATCGATAAATAAACTGAAACCATGGTAATTTCCTAAAAGTTTACTTGATTTACGAAGGAGTGAGGAGTGGGTGCACGTCCGTGAAAACAACCACATGATGTATACACCCCCCCCCCCCCCCCCCCCCCCCCCCCCCCC